CGGAGGCCCAGCAGAGCAGTGCTGCGGAGAAGGATGAGACGATTGCCAACCTGATGCAGGAGGTGGGGCGGCTGCAGTCGCAGCTGGAGGCGACCCAGCGTGAGCGCGAGGAGATCGTTACCGCCACGGAGGCCCAGCAGAGCAGTGCTGCGGAGAAGGATGAGACGATTGCCAACCTGATGCAGGAGGTGGGGCGGCTGCAGTCGCAGCTGGAGGCGACCCGGCGTGAGCCTGGTGCAAATGGTCATGGTAGTTTTTGTGGCGAATGTATGGCGAAGGATGCCCGGATGGATGGTTGGAAAAAACAGGTGAAGAAGCTTATTTCAAAAAATGATGAAGACAAGAACGCCTTGGTGGCACAGCTAGCCACTGCTCGTGAGGGCACTGCGCGGGCTGAGGAAGAGTTTCAGACGCATTTGGAGTGCTTTCGTGGTTCAATGACAAAACTGCAGGTGGAGTTGGAGCGTCTCTTGGTGGAGCGGCGGGAGATGGAAGTGAAGTTGTTGCATCTGGAGCGGTTTAAGGCAGCCGTGAGTGCGAAGGTGAACGGTGTATGATGGCCAGGTTGTCGGAGTATATATATTTTTATATCGATTGGAAGCTGGGCTGCGCTGCCTGGCGAGGTACGCTTTATAAGTCCGCACTGCTGTGCTTTGCTCTGGATTACAGAGATGTTTACTGCTATGCGCCATTGCTCCTTTGTCTTGCTGTTTTGTTTTGCTTGGGTTTGCTAAAGTCGCACCATCTCCTATCTGTCGCACCACTAGACGCGTGCGCATCGTGAGCCTGCAATTGTAGTGCGCAATTCCTTTAAAACATAGTTGTTCAAGTGGATGGCGAACAACGACTTCCGTGGCCACGAAGACCCGTCTATGACGGGTATGGAGAACGAAATGAACGTCTTTGTGGAATGCGGCCACCACCCACTCGGCGTTTCCTACAAACAGCGGCTCGAAAATATATTCGCGCGGGTTAACGAAGCCATGCCACTGTATGAGAAATTGGGTGGGGTGAAAGGAGTTGCGGAGAAGCTCGGGACGGACCTCAGCAATG